GGAAGCGTGCGCCCACAAAGACTCGTTTGCCTGAACCTGACTCTCTAGGAGGCGGCGCACACGCTGGAGCCACACCGAGAACTCGAGTGGCCTACCCTCGGCGTCAAAGCGCAGGACCCTAGGGGTCGCCATAGCAGAAGCGAAGAGGTGGGAACCAGGCCTCTTGATATCAGGGTAAATCACCCTTATGGCCTTTACTATAAGGGTGGGTTTAGGTGTTCACCCTTATTTTACAGAGTTGTATTTTTGTGCGCCCTTACAATAAAAAGTGAATTTTTGTGTAACACTGATATTTCAGACCGACCTGGTGTACTCGCCCTGATGACAACGAGTAGTGTTGGGTACCAGCCTGATGCGATTTTTGAGGGGGGAAGGGGGGGGGGGGGGGGGAGATTCACCGATGTGATTTCTGCCGCGATTAGCGGCGATTTGCCCGAGTCACCGGAATTGCGCGTCGCCAAGACCGCTCGCGTCGCCACAGCCACAGTCCCGCAACCTGTACCCGTATCACATGCATTTTGCCTGCCTGGCGGTGACACACAGCGCCACACAGGTGTGCATCGTCCAGGAGAGTCCTGCTTGGTCCCTTCCTCCCTCCCCACCAGACCCCCAACCACCGACCAGCCGCTCTCACCCAACCCCAACCCAGTCAGTTCATTTTATTCATCCAGTTTTCCTCCTCGTGGTCTCGTCTAGGGTTTGCATACCACGCCTTCCTGCTGCTATCATAAGCATAGCTCCAGCATCTACCTTCAAGTCCCTCGTCATGGCTGTTGACACCAGCGGTGAGGATGACGACGAGGATCGTCGTCAGGTCCTGCACTCACCCTCATGAAAGGGCCTTAGCTTTTTAACAGTGCCTTCTAAGCGACTGCTTGAACCAGAGCCCGTCGTCGCCTCTACTGAGGCTGAGACCGCGCTGGCTGAAGCGGGGCGTGACGTGCACCACGATGCCTGAACTGACATCACAAAAAGCGCAACACATGTAACGGAGAATACCGCTGCTGCTCACAACCCTGCCGCCAAGAAGCTGAAATCTGGTTCCTGTTTGGCACGGCAGAAGTGGCGGCAGCAACCTAAGTTGAGTTTCACTCGCGGGGCTCATGCATACGGTAGCAATGTTCAATGCTGGCAAGAAGCGCCGCCCTGCTCAAAAGTTCCTATACCGTATTAACTTGTGCTCACTACTAAGCTTATTCTGTTAGAACCAGGCACTGGTGCTTTAGTTGCTCTGTTAGTTAGTGCCATCTTTAATTTGTAATCCACGCTTAAGTCTAAGCATGGAAGGGTGAAAACAATGTGCACACTGATGAGCAAGAGTACCTTTCCAGCTGACACTGATAAAAAAGACTGACATGGCTGACCCACCCTTACTGAAAGACCAACTTCAGCGAACTGGCCTTGCGAGTAAGAGTGCCCCAAATCCTATCCAGAGGCCTGGTGGGAACTGCTGCTGCCGAAACCCTAAACGCGTGAAGGGCCTAAGGAGGGCGTGACAGGCAGTGAGTGAGGCTCAAGGCACTGCATGACGCTAGGGTAGGGCGCCACGAGGCGCTACGCGGCAGGCAGGACGGGACGCGCGCGGCTCGGCGCTGCGCGACAGGCAGAACGGGACGCACGCGGCGCGGCAGGCATGGCGCACGCGACGGGACAGACGGGACGGACACGACGAGCTAGACGGGACGGGACAGACGAGACGCGACGGACGGGACAGACACGACGCGATGGGACGACGGGACGGGACGACGGGACTGGACGAGCGCGACGCGACGGGACGGGACGACGGGACGCGACGCGACGGGACGGGACGGGACGGGACGACAGGACGGGACGCGACGCGACGCGACAGGACGGGCGCTACGGGCGCTTCGGGCGCTACAGGCGCTACGGGCGCGACGGGCGCTGCGGGCGCTACGGGCGTCGAGCGCGGTAGGCTAGGCGCAACGGGAGCTAGGGAACGAGACGAACCGGCGTGAGAGGCGCTAGGGGACGATACGGGCGTAACGGGCGCTAGGGAACGAGACGAACCGGCGTGGCAGACGCCAGGGGACGATACGGGCGTAACGGGTGCTAGGGTACGAGACGAACCGGCGTGACAGGCGCTAGGAGACGGTACGGGAGGAACGGGATCCCAGAGGATCCTAACCTAGGTGATACCATGTCAAGAACGGAATGGTTGTGTTCACTAAGGTTGGTTGGGGTACATAAACCTAACCCTAACTGTTGTACCCCATATGACACACATCACTAAGACTATAACATGTGACAATAAGTACTCAACTTGATATTATATTTTCTTTATGCATTTTAGTGCATTTCATCCCTATATGCCTTTATTCAAAGTGTAGCAAGAAAACAGATCGGGTGAGGACAAGAATGTAGGTAGGGATGGCAAGGGGAGTGTGAGAGAACGGCAAGATGATGACGCAAAAAGATGTCGGAGCACAAAACGTAGGGGAAACACTACGACGACAAACTTACTTAAAGTTTTCTAACACCACCCCCAACCTCTACACCCGCATGTCTACCAAGTAGGGCGCATCCGCCTATGGAGCGTCCCATAATGTGCTATGTTAAGAGTGAGGACCATGGATAGGGTAGGAACGCCTTAGAAGAGTTTGGTAGCGGAAGTCTTGTTGTAGGAACTCTGATCATAGTGAATGTAAATGACAAAGTTGATCAAAACAGAGATTACAGACGTAATAAATAGTTCTAAGTAGCCATGTACTCTGAGGGGTACATTCCCTTGTTCTAAATGCTTTACATGCATTTCTACAGTGACTCTTGTTATAGACTAAGGACGGAGTCTACGAAGATTAGGTGCATAAATTTCACAAAATCGTTGGTCTCAATTTCTGGACAGAATCGTCGCGCTCACAAGAAACGCCGTCGACAAAAAACGCACTGTCAAAACTTCACCAATTTCGGATATGTTGTAGCTGTAGTCCGTAGCTACAATTCCCAAGTTGAATCGTACGGAAAGGTGAAGTATTTCTCGAGTTATCACTTTTGGCGCACAGGGGGGTATGCTGCCATAAGAACTTAACTCAATCACAAGAGTCTCACAATTTTAACACAAAGAAGTTAGAGTAGCAATTAACCAGGTTGGAGGGAAGAGGAGGACGACAGGGAAGGTCCCCAAGGAGTTCCCAACCAAGGAAACCCCATAAGCACACCAAATCCCTTCCCTATAGGAACCCCACTTTTACTTTTGTCACTTTCCAACCCATGCCATCCACCTTGCCCAACTTGGCCACACTTGCCAACCTGGTTTGACTCCTCCCAAACACTTGGGAGCATCTACAGTGATGTTGACGAATTTCCCAACCCCCAAAAGTCAGTACCCCTTATAGAGTCAACCCCACAACTTCCCATAGTCACCACAACCAAATATCAAAAGCATACGAACTTCCAACGTTCGTAACTTTCTTGTTCGTGCTCCGATTGAAACGATACTTGGTTCGTCGGAAAGCTCTTGAGCAGAGGAGTCACTTCAGATATCTGCTCAAGCCAAATAACATTCACACACACTCAGAAAAACCAAACCACATCAAACACAAATTCTTGCACACGCTCATACCACGCATGCAACGCACGAACATGTGATGGGAGGCAGACAGACGTGAATGCAAATGATAGCATCACATAACAACTCTGACTATTGCACTTCTTTCTTGTTACCGAGTCGCTGCATGTAACCGGTACATACGGTTACGCTTGTTGCCATTCCTCGATGGTAAGTCAATCGTCGGTCCAGATGGTCAACAGTCGCGACAGTTGACTCTTGCGACTGTTGACCTTCCTGCCCTTAATACGGGCTAATCCGATACTGCTGCTAGCGCTGCTTCGATAGTGGCGGGTGCGATACTGCTGCACTTACGGGAATGCTAAGTATAATTCCCTTCATACTCCAACATGTTATGTAGTGAATACCTCGAAAACCATTATAAATATTTTTTTACAAATTGTAGATATAAACGCTCTGTACATGAACGTTAGAACTGTTTTGATATCTATAACATTACCCCCTCTTCTTGCCTGTTCTCCATAGTTTTTCCGGAGCTTCCCCTCCAAGTCCTAATCCAGATTGCCTCGAGCGCTGCGTCCGTCGTCACTACCTCGAGCCCTTAAAGATTAGTTCCACGGTTTTTCAATGGCTCGGATGAAGCCTTCCGAGCTGCTGCAGCGATCCAAGGGCCGGAAACCGCCCTCGCGATCGTCGCGATTGTCGATTCCGTGTCTCGCGTGGACGATGTGCATCGTGTCGCTCATCGCCTTCGTCCTCTTCCTCGTCCGATCGCGGTGAGCTCGACCGCTTCAAACTGAGACGCGCTTCTAGCTCGCTTTGAAATGATACGCCACTCTAGCTCGCTTCTACGAGTATTTGTAGAAATGTGGCGTCAGTGTGCGGACAGTGCGAGGAGTGTGGACAGAACGTGCGGACAGGCCGTGCAGTGCGAGCAATGCGAGCAGTGCGGACAGGGGGCAGTGCGGACAGGGGCAGTGCGGGTAGTGTGCGGGCAGTGCGGGTCGAGTTATAGTGGAAGCAGTTCACTCGCGCCGGCTGGTCTGATTGAACCAAAGCTCATGTCGCCTGAGTGAGCATGCGCTTCTGCACCCAGCTAGGTCCACCCGCACATTCGTCACACAAGTAACTCTACTGGAACCACAGAACTCTCAGCACATGACCCTTGCGTCAAACCTCTTGCTCATCCGAGCCTTCCGTCAAACCTCTTGCTCATCCGAGCCTTCCGTCAAACCTCATGCTCATCCGAGCCTTGCGTCAAGCCTCATGCTCATCCGAGCCTCGCGTCAAACCTCATGCTCATCCGAGCCTCGCGTCAAACCTCATGCTCATCCGGGCCACGCGTCAAACCTCATGCTCATCCGAGCCTTCAGCTCAGCTAGATTCCTGGTACTGTTACTCATACTCCTTGTGCTGCTTCCTTCCTCCCAACACTGCCTTTGCTTGTCTCTTCCATTGTGCTGTGAGAATGCAGATACATCGCAGAGAAAGCGGTAAGTCAACAACAAGCTACTCAAGTCGATTCCTGTTACACGTGCAGTCAGATTCAGCCTCGAACCCCCGGAACTCCTCTCTCCGTTCGCCCCAAGGATAGTATGTTGTGGGCAGTTCATTTGGCGTAATTCGCTCTGAGAATGGTCAAACCATGTTCTGAACCCAGCCGGCACTGCCACTCTGCAGCTCTCTTGCTTCGCTTTGCTTCCCTTTGCACCATCCTACTATCCTCCCCTCCGCACAAACTCTCACTCCGCTGTCTCCTTTTCCCCCCACCCACCCCTCACTTTGTTGTCTCTTCCCCACGGTCCTCCCACTACCCTCCCCTACATTCTTACGCCATCGCACTAATGTCCTGCCCATCCCACGCCCCCTTTCTGTGCCATCTGCTTTCCACCCCGCCCTCCCACTGCGCCATCCCCTCAACCCCCACCCCCCATCATTCCCCTCATTGTCCTTCCTCCATCCCCTCTCAGGGTACTGCGAGGCACCGGCCCGCCACCAACGCCCCCTTCATTTTCGTACGTCCTTCCTCTCCTCGCTTTTTCATCCACTCCTCCCTCGCCCAAACCCATGCCGCTTCCACAATCTCTCCCTTCGCCTTCGTACGTCCTGCTTCTTATTCGCTTCTAGCCATGTGTCCTTATAGGCGATTTACAACACCCAGCTGCTCCACAATCGCCCATTTCCTCGTCGTACATGCTCTGTTTCATTCCCCCTAATCTGTCTTGGCTCGCGTCTCTAGTCCCTACCGAGTGAAAGCAGCTCCAAGCTGCTCCACCAACGCCCATTTGTTTTCTCATGTGTGCTACTCACTTTTTGCCCTTAGTTGTTTCGCCGCCTGCTGCTGATTCATACATCAAGCCATCCCAGCATGTTTTGCTCAAAGTCAAGTTCACTTTCCTCCCTCTCACATCCTCCTTTCCCTCTCATCATCTCACCCTCCCCTACCCTCCAACCGACGCTTCCCACCAATCAGAATATCAAGACAGTGGGCGGCATGATCCTGCTCAAAGTCAAGTTCACAGATTGCTTTGTGGAGATTGCCAAACTCGTGCAGCAATGGTGAGGCACTGGGGCCCGCACTAGCACTCACTGGTGGTGAAGCCGCACTAGCACTCACTGGTGAAGCCGCACTAGCACTCACTGGTGAGGCCCGCACTAGCACTCACTGGTGAAGCCGCACTAGCACTCACTGGTGAAGCCGCACTAGCACTCACTGGTGAGGCCCGCACTAGCACTCACTGGTGAAGCCGCACTAGCACTCACTGGTGAAGCCGCACTAGCACTCACTGGTGAAGCCGCACTAGCACTCACTGGTGAAGCCGCACTAGCACTCACTGGTGAAGCCGCACTAGCACTCACTGGTGAAGCCGCACTAGCACTCACTGGTGAAGCCGCACTAGCACTCACTGGTGAAGCCGCACTAGCACTCACTGGTGAGGCCCGCACTAGTAGTGAGTGTCAAGAACTGTCGAATCTTCCTTAGGGGCTTGATATGGCACGTGGAAGAAGGGAATGCATTACTTACATTACATGCCATTCTATGTCGAGTCTCATCCGGTTGTGGGCTCGTACTTGATGGGTTCGTACTTGATGGGTTCGTCCTTCATGCGACTGCAGTTGATTAGCAGTTCTCGATAACTGTTAGGTCTGCATTATTCTTTCCGGTCATCAGCGCTTGATGTTCTATGTGTGTGTGTGTGTGTGTGTGTGTGTGTACGTGTGTGTGTGTGTGTGTGATGTGTGTGTGTGTGTGTGTGATGTGTGTGTGCGCGAGCGTGCGTGCGTACGTACGTGAATGTGCGTGTGTGTGTGTGTGTGTGTGTGTGCTTGTGTGTGTGCTTGTGTGTGTGCAAGTGCGTGCGTTTGAGCACGAGTGTGGTCGAGTGTGTTTGGTGAAGGAAGAGGGTGGTGTGGGAAAGTGCGTGCTTGTCTGTGTCTGTGTCTGTGTTTATGTGTGTATCTGTGTATGGATGTTTTGGAGTGCAGTAAGCACAACCATTTCAAGGATGCAGCACTACAAGCAGAGTCGGAAAGCGTTCTAAGGTAAACAAACCTGCATGCAAAGAATACTATGAAGTTATCACTATTCTCACCTTCTAGTTGCACATCCTTGACATCTCGTTACAAGCACCATATCATTTCCATCCCCACCCACTGAACAGCACTGCATCCCTCTCCTCCACCCCCGCTCACCCCACAAAGTAACACACAGCGAGAAAAAGAAGTGGGTGCGTCCAACTGTGCCCACAATGCAACGCCTTTATCCTCAGCAACCCTCTCTACCTCTTGTAACCCTACCCATGGTATGGTCACACAGGGACGAGAACAAGTAGGTAGCTTTGAGAGAATTTCCTTGTGCAATTAGATCCCATTCTGCCCCATCCCACCCCGCTGTGCCCCTTTCCATCCCTCGCTGCCCCTTTCCACCCCTCGCTGCCCCTTTCCACCGCTCTCCACCACAGATTGACGCACAGGGACGGCAAGGAGTGGGTGGTTCTCAGTGTGGGGCCGTCAGGCAAACCAAGTCCGTGGGAGGGCAACTGCAGCGACGCCATCCCTGCCACCCTAATAAGTGGGCAGGCGCTCATAGGGGTGAGTAGCCGACAGTGAGGGTGGATAGCCGACAGTGAGGGTGGATAGCCGACAGTGAGGGTGGATAGCCGACAGTGAGGGTGGATAGCCGACAGTCAAGCGTTTACAGGTACGAGAGGAACAGAGATGAGAGGAACAGCGATGAGTGGAACAGAGATGAGTGGAACAGAGATGAGAGGAACAGAGATGAGAGGAACAGCGATGAGTGGAACAGAGATGAGTGGAACAGAGATGAGAGGAACAGCGATGAGTGGAACAGAGATGAGTGGAACAGAGATGAGAGGAACAGAGATGAGAGGAACAGAGATGAGAGGAACAGCGATGAGTGGAACAGCGATGAGTGGAACAAAGATGAGTGGAACAGAGATGAGTGGAACAGAGATGAGTGGAACAGAGATGAGAGGAACAGCGATGAGTGGAACAGAGATGAGTGGAACAGAGATGAGAGGAACAGAGATGAGTGGAACAGAGATGAGAGGAACTGAGATGAGTGGAACAAAGATGAGTGGAACAGAGATGAGTGGAACAGAGATGAGAGGAACAGAGATGAGTGGAACAGCGATGAGTGGAACAGAGATGAGAGGAACAGAGATGAGAGGAACAGAGATGAGTGGAACAGAGATGAGTGGAACAGCGATGAGTGGAACAGAGATGAGGAACAGAGATGAGAGGAACAGAGATGAGTGGAACAGAGATGAGAGGAACAGAGATGAGTGGAACAGAGATGAGAGGAACAGAGATGAGAGGAACAGACATGAGTGGAACAGAGATGAGTGGAACAGAGATGAGTGGAACAGAGATGAGAGGAACAGCGATGAGTGGAACAGAGATGAGAGGAACAGAGATGAGTGGAACAGAGATGAGAGGAACAGCGATGAGTGGAACAGAGATGAGAGGAACAGAAATGAGTGGAACAGAGATGAGAGGAACAGAGATGAGAGGAACAGACATGAGAGGAACTGAGATGAGTGGAACAGAGATGAGAGGAACAGAGATGAGTGGAACAGCGATGAGTGGAACAGAGATGAGAGGAACAGAGATGAGAGGAACAGAGATGAGTGGAACAGAGATGAGAGGAACAGCGATGAGTGGAACAGAGATGAGAGGAACAGAGATGAGTGGAACAGCGATGAGTGGAACAGAGATGAGTGGAACAGAGATGAGAGGAACAGAGATGAGAGGAACAGAGATGAGTGGAACAGAGATGAGAGGAACAGAGATGAGAGGAACAGACATGAGAGGAACTGAGATGAGTGGAACAGAGATGAGAGGAACAGAGATGAGTGGAACAGCGATGAGTGGAACAGAGATGAGAGGAACAGAGATGAGAGGAACAGAGATGAGTGGAACAGAGATGAGAGGAACAGCGATGAGTGGAACAGAGATGAGAGGAACAGAGATGAGTGGAACTGAGATGAGTGGAACAAAGATGAGTGGAACAGCGATGAGTGGAACAGAGATGAGAGGAACAGAGATGAGTGGAACAGAGATGAGTGGAACAGAGATGAGAGGAACAGAGATGAGTGGAACAGCGATGAGTGGAACAGAGATGAGAGGAACAGAGATGAGAGGAACAGAGATGAGTGGAACAGAGATGAGAGGAACAGCGATGAGTGGAACAGAGATGAGAGGAACAGAGATGAGTGGAACAGCGATGAGTGGAACAGAGATGAGTGGAACAGAGATGAGAGGAACAGAGATGAGAGGAACAGAGATGAGTGGAACAGAGATGAGAGGAACAGAGATGAGAGGAACAAACATGAGAGGAACTGAGATGAGTGGAACAGAGATGAGAGGAACAGAGATGAGTGGAACAGCGATGAGTGGAACAGAGATGAGAGGAACAGAGATGAGAGGAACAGAGATGAGAGGAACAGAGATGAGAGGAACAGCGATGAGTGGAACAGAGATGAGAGGAACAGAGATGAGTGGAACTGAGATGAGTGGAACAAAGATGAGTGGAACAGAGATGAGTGGAACAGAGATGAGAGGAACAGAGATGAGTGGAACAGCGATGAGTGGAACAGAGATGAGAGGAACAGAGATGAGAGGAACAGAGATGAGTGGAACAGAGATGAGAGGAACAGAGATGAGAGGAACAGAGATGAGAGGAACAGAGATGAGTGGAACAGAGATGAGAGGAACAGAGATGAGAGGAACAGACATGAGAGGAACTGAGATGAGTGGAACAGAGATGAGAGGAACAGAGATGAGTGGAACAGCGATGAGTGGAACAGAGATGAGAGGAACAGAGATGAGAGGAACAGAGATGAGTGGAACAGAGATGAGAGGAACAGCGATGAGTGGAACAGAGATGAGAGGAACAGAGATGAGTGGAACAGCGATGAGTGGAACAGAGATGAGTGGAACAGAGATGAGAGGAACAGAGATGAGAGGAACAGAGATGAGAGGAACAGAGATGAGAGGAACAGAGATGAGTGGAACAGAGATGAGAGGAACAGAGATGAGTGGAACAGCGATGAGTGGAACAGAGATGAGAGGAACAGAGATGAGAGGAACAGAGATGAGTGGAACAGAGATGAGAGGAACACAGATGAGAGGAACAGAGATGAGAGGAACAGAGATGAGAGGAACAGAGATGAGTGGAACAGAGATGAGAGGAACAGAGATGAGAGGAACAGACATGAGAGGAACTGAGATGAGTGGAACAGAGATGAGAGGAACAGAGATGAGTGGAACAGCGATGAGTGGAACAGAGATGAGAGGAACAGCAACGCGCACACGCAACGGCTCTCGAGCACGCAATTTGGCAACGAAGTTGTCCACTGCACGGGTCACGCGCGTTAGGGTACGGCAAGGCGTGAGGCGACGGCAACCAAGCACACGCGAGCAGGGTCCATCGATGGGGTGTCATGGTTGCGCCGCGGCGATGGGGAGGCGCGGCGGCGTCATGCTGGCGGCGAGAGCGGCGATGATGGCGCTGGTGGTGGTGCGCTGCTGCATGCCCCTCGCACGCGCTGCTCCCGTGATGGACGCTGACAGTAAGCCGTGCTGACAGTAAGCCGTGCTGACAGTAAGCCGTGGTGACAGTAAGCCGTGCTGACAGTAAGCCGTGCTGACAGTAAGCCGTGGTGGACCCACTTTCCTCTCCCAACCTGACAGTACTAAGCCGTGCCGTGTGCGATACCGCCCCCCCACGAGGAACAGAGATGAGTGGAACAGAGATGAGAGGAACAGCGATGAGTGGAACAGAGATGAGAGGAACAGAGATGAGTGGAACAGCGATGAGTGGAACAGAGATGAGAGGAACAGAGATGAGAGGAACAGAGATGAGTGGAACAGAGATGAGAGGAACAGAGATGAGAGGAACAGACATGAGAGGAACTGAGATGAGTGGAACAGAGATGAGAGGAACAGAGATGAGAGGAACAGAGATGAGTGGAACAGAGATGAGAGGAACAGCGATGAGTGGAACAGAGATGAGAGGAACAGAGATGAGTGGAACTGAGATGAGTGGAACAAAGATGAGTGGAACAGCGATGAGTGGAACAGAGATGAGAGGAACAGAGATGAGTGGAACAGAGATGAGTGGAACAGAGATGAGAGGAACAGAGATGAGTGGAACTGAGATGAGTGGAACAAAGATGAGTGGAACAGAGATGAGTGGAACAGAGATGAGAGGAACAGAGATGAGTGGAACAGCGATGAGTGGAACAGAGATGAGTGGAACAGAGATGAGAGGAACAGAGATGAGTGGAACAGCGATGAGTGGAACAGAGATGAGAGGAACAGAGATGAGTGGAACAGAGATGAGAGGAACAGAGATGAGTGGAACTGAGATGAGTGGAACAGAGATGAGAGGAACAGAGATGAGAGGAACAGAGATGAGTGGAACAGAGATGAGAGGAACTGAGATGAGTGGAACAAAGATGAGTGGAACAGAGATGAGTGGAACAGAGATGAGAGGAACAGAGATGAGTGGAACAGAGATGAGAGGAACAGAGATGAGAGGAACAGAGATGAGTGGAACAGAGATGAGAGGAACAGAGATGAGTGGAACAGAGATGAGAGGAACTGAGATGAGTGGAACAAAGATGAGTGGAACAGAGATGAGTGGAACAGAGATGAGAGGAACAGAGATGAGTGGAACAGAGATGAGTGGAACAGAGATGAGAGGAACAGAGATGAGTGGAACAGACATGAGAGGAACAGAGATGAGAGGAACAGAGATGAGTGGAACAGCGATGAGTGGAACAGAGATGAGTGGAACAGAGATGAGAGGAACAGAGATGAGTGGAACAGAGATGAGAGGAACAGAGATGAGTGGAACAGCGATGAGCGGAACAGAGATGAGTGGAACAGAGATGAGAGGAACAGAGATGAGTGGAACAGAGATGAGTGGAACAGAGATGAGTGGAACAGAGATGAGTGGAACAGAGATGAGTGGAACAGAGATGAGTGGAACAGCGATGAGTGGAACAGAGATGAGTGGAACAGAGATGAGTGGAACAGAGATGAGAGGAACAGAGATGAGTGGAACAGCGATGAGTGGAACAGAGATGAGTGGAACAGAGATGAGAGGAACAGAGATGAGTGGAACAGCGATGAGTGGAAGAAAGATGAGTGGAACAAAGATGAGTGGAACAGAGATGTGTAGAAGAGGTGACGGAGGATGATTAACTTGAGGGACATGCGATGAATGTAACGGCTTGACTCCATCCCCGCCACTCAATTAGAACCCTGTCGTTCCTTGGGTTGAGTGTGATGTGGTTTTATGGCCGAACGGCCGTGCTCTCACACCCTTTCTTCCCCCCTCCCTCTCCTACCCATTGCTATCACGCATCGACTGCAGGGACTCGCATCAGCACAGCACCCATCCCTCTGCGCATCAGGCGCTAGCATCAGCAGTAAACCCCCCATTTCTACCCCATCAGCACTCAACCCCCCATCTCTACCCCATCAGTAGTAACCCCCACCTCCCTACCTCAAACCAACGTCCCTCTCTCCTGACCCCCCTCCCCATTCGCCTGCCTTTCCTCTTGCCCCATCACCCCCAACAGGCGCTGACATCGGGGGTAATCCCGCCCCCAGACAACCCCTCCATCCCGCTCTCGCTGCCGTCGCTGCCGTACCTGCGAGTGGAGTACGTCAAAGTCTCCCAGGACTCGCTCGGCCTTGCCATGGCTGAAGGCGTCGTCACCATATAGCAACCATTTAGCATGGGATGGGATGATCGCAGGCACTGACATCTGCAGTCCGCAGCAACCATTAGTGCGATGTACTTTGTTTTGGCGTATTAATGGAGTTTGGAAAGCTGGAAGCTCACGTGGGCTTGCCACAGAACAAATTGTAACCACCATATTTTAAAATGCTCACTGTAAATCATATAAGTTGAAGTCCTTTCATTGAAAGTTGATTAAGTTGCAAAATAAGACCATCGATTCATCGAACGAACTTCACCTCACAAAAGCATCCCTGCCCTGGCTCGCTGGATGCCCCCACACCCACCACCTCACTACAATTTCAGTCCGTGCCTGCCTCGACTTCCCACTCCACCTCATCCAACCCATCCACACCACATTGGTTGGTTCGACCTGTCCTTGCTTCCCTTTCACCCCCTGCGCCCTTTCCTTCATCTCCACCCTCCTGTATCTGTCTTGCATGGTCTTCTGCTGAACGCTCATTGAGCATGCGCCCACTACCCTCACCCCCGCTGCTTGCTTCTTGACCACCGTTGACTGCGCATTGACCTTTGCTGACTGGCATTTGACCGTCAGTTGCAACCTTTTGACTTGCACCCTCCACGCCTTGACCCACATTGACTTCGCCTTGACCCTCATTGACTTCGCCTTGACCCTCATTGACTTCGCCTTGACCCTCGTTGACTGCCATCTCACGAGAATCACTTCCCCCCTGACCATCATTGACAATCAAGTGACCTTCACAGCCTGTCTCTGAAGCCACTTGCACCTCGCCTTCCCCTGAGCTCATGCCTCCTTCCTTCTCTCCTTCCGTTGCACTCATATTGACTTTTCCAATAGCATCATCCTCCTCCTTCCTACTCATTTCTCCTTCCTTTCCACTCGTCTTTCCCTCCTTACTCGTCTCTCCCTCCTTCCCACTCGTCTCTCCCTCCTTCTCACTCGTTTCCCCCTCCTTCCCACTCGTCTCTCCCTCTTTCCCACTCGTTTCTCCCTCCTTCCCACTCGTCTCTCCCTCCCCACTCGTCTCTCCCTCATTCATACTCGTCTTTCCCTCCTTCCCACTCGTCTCTCCCTCCTTCTCACTCGTCTCTCCCTCCTTCCCACTCTTCTCTCCCTCCTTCCCACTCGTCTCTCCATCCTTCCCACTCGTTTCTCCCACTGTCCCACTCCTCTCTCCCTCTGTCCCACTTCTCTCTCCCTCCTTCCTACTCGTCTCTCCCTCTGTCCCACCCGTCTCTCCCTCTGTCCCACTCTTCTCTCCCTCCTTCCCACTTCTCTCTCCCTCCTTCCCACTCGTCTCTCCATCCTTTCCACTCGTTTCTCCCTCTGTCCCACTCCTCTCTCCCTCTGTCCCACTTCTCTCTCCCTCATTCCCACTCGTCTCTCCCTCCTTCCCACTCGTTTCTCCCTCTGTCCCGCTCCTTCCTCCCTCTGTCCCACTTCTCTCTCCCTCCTTCCCACTCGTTTCTCCCTCTGTCCCACTCCTCCCTCTCTCTGTCCCACTTCTCTCTCCCTCCTTCCCACTCGTCTCTCCCTCCTTCCCACTCCTCTCTCCCTCCTTCCCACTCCTCTCTCCCTCCTTCCCACTCCTCTCTCCTTCCATTTCATTGATGTCCCCTCCCCCCACAGTTGTTGTCCCTTCCCCCATAACGAGGTCCCCTCTCATCACACTCATGTCCGCTTCCCCCATAGTCACGTCCGCTTCCCCCATAGTCACATCCGCTTCCCCCTCAGAAGTACCTGCCTCCCCCATAATCACATCTCCCTCCTCAAGCACCATATCCCCGTCACTCACACACACGGTTCCCCTCCCCTCACTCAACCCCTCGCCCTCACTCGTTTCCCGAGCACCATGCACATCCTCCCGTGAACTCAACTCCTTCCCTTCACTCAAAGTCGCCCCTTGACCTGCATTGGCCGCCCCTTGACCTGCATTGGCTGCTGCTGCTGAGGCGATAGTTTGCCTATTTTCATCTCCGCCCCCCCCTCCTTCTCCATCCCCTTGTGCCTCTCCACCCACCTCTGCCCTCACCTCTCCCGTCTCAACCCCCTCACCCGCAACCCCCACCCTCTCTGCCCCTCCACCACCACTCCCCCCTCCTTCCCCCGACAAGCACACCTCTCCCCCACCACGCCCTCCTACTTCACTCGGCACAGCCACCTCCCCCCTAGCACCCTCTCCCCCTCCACTCGGCACAGCCACCTCCCCCCTAGCACCCTCTCCCCCTCCACTCGGCACAGCCACCGCTTCCCCACCACTCTTCCTCAGGTCACTTGCGGCGGGCACTCCTCCCCCAGCAGCAACCCCACCCAGGCCACCATAGGCGCCCACTACTCTCACAAAATTGGCCATGATGCTGCACAGGCTGCACTGCCCTGCCGGCCCGTCCGCCACACAGCAGTGCGACACCGTGAAGAACCCCCCTTCGCTGCCGCTTCCCCCCGGCATGCTCACCGTTCCCACTCTCTCATCCCCTCCCTGCTCCCCTCCCTGCTCCCCTCCCTGCTTCCCTCCCTGTCTCCCTTCCTGCCCCCCTCTCTGTCCCCCTCCCTGCCCCACTCCCTGCCCCCCTCCCTGCTCCCCTCCCTGCTCCCCTCCCTGCTCCCCTCCCTGCTCCTCTCCCTGCCCCCCTCCCTGCTCCGCTCTTTGTCCGCCGGTCTCCTCCTGTCCCCTCGCCACAGCCCCGCCCCTTTCCTTCGCCCGGCCTTGCAGCAGCAGCTGCAGCAGTCCCATGATCGTTGCGTCCCTCCAAGCCCCTCCTCTTCCTTCCACTCCTCCCACTGTCCTGCCTTGGCCCACCCCTCCACCTGCATTAGCAGCCCATAGACCATAGTTGGATGGTGCTTGACCAGCGTTGACTGGTGCTTGACCAGCGTTGACTGGTGCTTGACCAGCGTTGACTGGTGCTTGACCAGCGTTGACTGGTGTTTGACCAGCATTGACTGCACGACCTGCATTAAATCCTCGTTGACCGACAGCTGTCTCCACCTGATTCGCTGCCACTCTCCTCCTTGGATCCGCATTGGCCACGAGTTGACTTGCCACATAGACTGCTGCCTGAATTGGATTGACTACTGCTTGAATTGGATTGCCTGCTGCTTGACTCAGATTGACCGCTTGACTCAGGTTGACCGCACCTTCACGTATTCTGGCCGCCAAGGTAGCAACCACACACTCACGGCACTTGCATTGAATCCCGTTCACCACCACTGGATTGCCAGTCATCCCCGTGTGACCTGCGTTCACTGCCCCTTGACCTGCGTTCACTGCCCCTTGACCTGCGTTCACTGCCCCTTGACCTGCGTTCACTGCCCCTTGACCTGCGTTCACTGCCCCTTGACCTGCGTTCACTGCCCCTTGACCTGCGTTCACTGCCCCTTGACCTGCGTTCACTGCCCCTTGACCTGCGTTCACTGCCCCTTGACCTGCGTTCACTGCCCCTTGACCTGCGTTCCCTGCCCCTTGACCAGCGTTGATTGCCCCTTCGCCTGCGCCCGCACTCTCCAATGGACCTTGATTCACTGCTGATTGGCGCATGTTCACTGCCCCTTGACCAGCGTTGACTGCCTGTTGACCTGTGCTGGCCATCTGTTGACTCGCGTTGACTGCTCCCAGGCTCTCTCTTCCAACAAACTCCTGCACGCCATGCCCCAGCAGCTGCAGCCCTGCCGTGTCACCCAACCAACCTGTGCCGCCCAACCCTCCACCCTCCCCTCCTTCTCCAACCCTCCGTTCCTCTCCACCCCCCCCTCCCTCTCCATCCCCCCCTCCCTCTCCACCACCCCCTCCCTCTCCACCCCCCCCTCCCCCATTCCCCCCTCCTTCTACGCCCTCCCCTCCTTCTCCAGCCCCCCGTCCCTCTCCACCTCCCCCTGGCCTCACCTCTCCCACCTCTCCCGTCTCTCCCACCTCTCCCGTCACTCCCGCCTCAACCCCTTCAACTTCAACGCCCACCCCCTCCTCCCCTCCACCACCACTCCCCCCTCCTCCTTCCGACATGCGTACATCTCCCCCACCACCCCCTCCTCCTCCACTCGGCACAGCCACCACTTCCCCACCACCACTCCCCCTCAGATCGCTTGCTGCGGGCACTCCTCCCCCTGCAGCAACCCCCATCAGGCCACCCTGCACGCCCCCCAGGCCACCCTGCGCGCCCCCCAGGCCACCCTGGGCGCCCACCATTTTGGCGAAATTGGCAACGATGCTGCACAGGCTGCACTGCCCTGCCGGCCCGTCCGCCACACAGCGGTGCGACAGCGTGAAGTGCCCCCCTCCACTGCCGCTTTCTCCCGGCAAGCTGACTCTCTCATCCGCTCCTCCATTTCCTCCCCGATTCCCTTCCTGCCCCCCTCCCTGTTCCCCTCCCTGCCCCCCTTCCTGCCCCCCTCCCTGTTCCCCTCCCTGTTCCCCTCCCTGCCCCCCTTCCTGCCCCCCTCCCTGTTCCCCTCCCTGCTCCCCTCCCTGCTCCCCTTCCTGCCCCCCTCCCTGTTCCCCTCCCTGTTCCCCTCCCTGCTCCCCTCCCTGCCCCCCTCCCTGTCCCCCTCCCTGGTCCCCTCCCTGGTCCCCTCCCTGCCCCCCTTCCTGCCCCCCGCCCTGTCCCCCTCCCTGCCCCCCCTCCTGCCCCCCGCCCTGTCCCCCTCCCTGCTCCCCTCCCTGCCCCCCTCCCTGTTCCCCTCCCTGCTCCCCTCCCTGCTGCCTTCCCTGCTGCTCTCCCTGCTCCCCTCTTTGCCCGCCGTTTTCGCCCTGTCCCCTCGCCACAGCCCCACCCGTTTCCTTCGCCTGGCCTTGCAGCAGCTTCAACAGCAGCCCCAGGATTGCTGTGTCCCTCCACACCCCTCCTCCCTCTGCTCTGCCTTGGCCCACCCCTCCACCTGCATTAGCAGCCCATAGACCAGCGTTGACCGGTGCTTGACCAGCGTTGAATGGTGCTTGACCAGCGTTGACTAGTGCTTGACCAACAGTGAATGGTGCTTGACTGGCGTTGACCAGCGCTTGAACAGCGTTGGCTGGTGCTTGACCAGCGTTGACCATTGCTTGAACAACACTGAATGGTGCTTGACCAGCGTTGACTGGTGCTTGACCAGCAGTGAATGGTGATTGACCAGCGTTGACAAATGCTTGAACAATACTGAATGGTGCTTGACCAGCGTTGACCAGTGCTTGAAGTTGAAACGCGTTGAATGGTGGTTGACCAGCGTTGACCAGTGCTTGACCAGCGTTGACTGGTGCTTGACCAGCAGTGAATGGTGCTTGACCAGTGTTGACCAGTGCGTGACCAGCGTTGAATGGTGCTTGACCAGCGTTGACTCGTGCTTGACTGGCGCTGGCTGCTGCGTGACCAGTGTTGACTGGTGCTTGACCAGGGTTGACTGCTGCGTGACCAGCGTTGACCCGTGCTTGACCGGCGTTGACTGTTGTGTGACCAGTGTTTAATCGTGCTAGACCAGCGTTGACTCGTGCTTGACCGGCGTTTATTCGTGCTTGATCCGCGTTGACTGGTGCTTGACCATCGTTGACTCGTGCGTGACTGGCGTTGGCTGCTGCGCGACCAGTGTTGACTGGTGTTTGTCCAGGGTTGACTGCAGCGTGACCAGCGTTGGCTCGTGCTTGGCCGGCGTTGACTGTTGTGTGACCAGTGTTTAATCGTGCTAGACCAGCGTTGACTCGTGCTTGACCAGTGTTGACTGCTGCTTGACCAGTGTTGACTCGTGCTTGACCGGCGTTTATTCGTGCTTGACCCGTGTTGACTGGTGCTTGACCAGCATTTCTTGTCTCTAGCACAGCAGCCGTCCCCACACGACCTGCACCTAACCCTGAATGGCCGACAGCTGTCTCCACTTGATTCGCTACCACTCCCCTCCTTGGATCCGCATTGATCACTCGTTGACTCGCGTTGACTCCATCTTGACTCGCGTTGACTGTGCCTTCACGTGTTCTCATTGCCAATCTAGCAGCCACACACTCATGGCACTCGCATCGAATCCCGTTGACCACCACTGGATTGCCAGTTACCCTCGTGTGACCTGCATTGACCGCCCCTTGACCTGCATTGACCGCCCCTTGACCTGCATTGACCGCCCCTTGACCAGCATTGACTGCCCCTTGACCTGCATTGACCGCCCCTTGACCGGTGCTGACCATCTGTTGACTCGCATTGACTGCTCCCAGGATCTCCCTAACCAACTCCTGCATCAACTCCTGCACGCGAGGCCCCAGCACCTGGAGCCCTGCCATGCCGCCCGCCCCTTGTGTGCCGCCCAACCCTCCTGCTCCTCTTGCCCCTGCTGCCGCCCCGGTTTCCCCTACTCCCCCTACCAGCCCTCCCACACCTTGTACACCCCTCCCTTCTCCTGCTGTGTCTGCTGCTACTGTACCTGCTGCTGCCGTTCCCACACCCACACTCCCACCTCCTGCCACACCCCCACCTCGTGCCATCCCTCCCACTGCCCCCGTTTGCCCCACCGTCCCCAATCCCCTCGAACCGATTCCCGTTTCCCCCATCCGTGTTCCCCCCATTACCGTTCCCACCATGCTCGTCCCCCCTCTTCCCCTTGCCCCCATTCCTGTACTCCCCATGCTCACCCCCGCTGTTCCCAACCCCACCGTTCCCACCCCCGCCGTCCCCACCCCCGCCGTTCCCACCCCCGCCGTTCCCACCCCCGCCGTTCCCACCCCCGCCATTCCCACCCCCGCCGTTCCCACCCCCGCCGTTCCCACCCCCGCCGTTCCCACCCCCGCCGGTCCCACCCCCGCCGTTCCCACCCCCGCCGTTCCCACCCCCGCCGTTCCCACCCCCGCCGTTCCCACCCCCGCCGTTCCCACCCGCGCCGTTCCCACCCGCGCCGTTCCCACCCGCGCCGTTCCCACCCCCGCCGTCCCCACCCCCGCCGTCCCCACCCCCGCCGTTCCCACCCCCGCCGTTCCCAACCCCGCCGTTCCCAACCCCGCCGTTCCCACCCCCTCCGTTCCCACCCCCTCCGTTCCCACCCCCGCAGTCCCCCCCACCACACCAGCAACCCCAGCCACACCTGGCAGCCCCCGAAGCTGCTGGTCTGGGAGGAGCGCATTCCCCCCAGCAGCAGCGGCAGCTTGAATCCCGGCCAGCTGCCTGTCGACGGCCTGGGCGTGGGCGCGGCGGGCAAAGAGGGTCTGCAGGGCGGGGCTCATGGCCTGGAAGGCGTGGGCGTCGAGGGGGCGCTGCAGGAAGGCGTCGATGGCCGCCACGCGCTGCGCGTCCGTCAGAGAGGGGAGGGCCTGCACGTCCTGCACCGCCTTCACCACACTGTCCGCCACCGCGTCTGGTGGGGGGTGGGGTGGGGGGAGAGAAGGGGAGGCCAAAGCTGTGTCCTCAGAGGGCTCAGAAGGAGCTTGAGAGAAGAAACTTTGCACCGATTTGGACACACCGTCTGCCACCACGTCTGGTGGTGAAGAAAAAGGGGGGGAGGGAAAGGGGAGTAAGTTTGGGAAGCAGGTGGGTGGAAAGAGAGAAATAGATCCGACCCAGATCACCAGACTCAGTTAGTTCTAGTCTCCGCTAGTCTATGCTTAGGCTAGGTAGGATTGAGTAAGCAAAGAAATATCATTCCGAGACTGAGCGTACGTGCGTTTGGCACAATGGCCTTTGTCAGCTCTCAAAATTACAATAAAAATCTTTCTAAGAGCGCTGACGAAGGCCGTTGTGCCGAAACGCGCGTACACGCTCAGCCTTATAATGATATTTCCTTGCTTACTTAATCCCTACGTAGCCTAAACATAGATCAACAGACACCAGAACGTACAAAGTCTGGTGTTCTGGGTAGAATCTATTTCTCTCTGAGTAAGAATGAGGGCGATGTTTGCATGTCCTGCACCGACTTGAACACACTTTCCGCCACCGCATTCGACGGTGAGAGGGATTGGAAGGGAGCGGTGGCAAGGGAGTTAAAAGGGATTAATTCTTACAATTATCATGATTTTTTTATAGTTATAATAGCTACTGTTGCTAATTTCATGTTGCTCATTTTAACATCAGATCTCCGGCCATATCTGCTTGGCTCCAGCACTTGTTACTCTGATCCTGGACGTATTTGATACTGGAAGGAAGTTGTGCCTTCACATCACATCACATCACACCACATCACATCACATCACATCACATCACATCACATCACATCACATCACATCACATCACATCGCATCGCATCGCATCGCATCGCATCGCATCGCATCGTATCGCATCGCATCGCATCGCATCGCATCGCATCCCATCCCATCCCATCCCATCCCATTGCATCGCATCCAATCCCATCCCATCCCATCCCATCCCATCCCATCCCATCCCATCCCATCCCATCCCATCCCAACCCATCCCATCCCGCCCATCCTATCCCATCACAACACGTCACATCACATCACATCACATCACATCACATCACATCACATCACATCACATCACATCACATCACATCACATCACATCACACCACACCCCACCACATCACATCGCATCGCATCGCATCGCATCGTATCGCATCGCATCGCATCGCATCCCATCCCATCCCATCCCATTGCATCGCATCCAATCCCATCCCATCCCATCCCATCCCATCCCATCCCATCCCATCCCATCCCAACCCATCCCATCCCATCCCGCCCATCCTATCCCATCACAACACGTCACATCACATCACATCACATCACATCACATCACATCACATCACATCACATCACATCACATCACATCACATCACATCACATCACATCACATCACATCACATCACATCACATCACATCCTACCCCTAAGCATCTGTGCCTTCTCAATACCTACCCCTAAGCATCAGTGCCTTCTCATCACCTACCCCTAAGCATCTGTGCCTTCTCATCACCTACCCCTAAGCATCAGTGCCTTCTCATCACCTACCCCTAAGCATCAGTGCCTTCTCATCACCTACCCCTAAGCACCTGTGCCTTCTCATCACCTACCTCTGTGTGCCTTTTCATCACCCACCTCTAAGCATGTGTGCCTGCTCATCACCCACCTCTATGCACGTGCGGCTGGCCCTTCTCCGCCATGCTCTTGACGGCACGCGCCACACTCTCCATCACCCGCCGCTGCCGCTTCCTCTCCATTGCCTGCACCCACACCGGCCTCGACCGCTTCACACCCCTCCCCGCTCTCCCCTCCTCCCTTCTCTCTCTTTCCTGCCTCTCCCCCACCCCATTCTCCCCCTCAGGATCCTCATCCCCCCGTCGTGCACTGGCATCTCCTCCTTCTCCTCCATCTCCTCCTCCTCCTCCATCCCCCTCGCCCTCAACCCCGCGCCTCTCTGTGCCGCCTTGCTCTCTCCTGCTCGCTGCCATGCCAGCGATCCGCGCTGCCAGCCTCGCAGGGTACTCGTCCCTCTCATCCGCACTTGCACCACCAGTCCCATCTACACGAGGCACGTCAGCACGAGCCACGTCAGCAGCACAAGCCACATCAGCGAAGGTGACATTGTTACGTGCCACCTCAGCACGCGGAACACCATTGACCCGCGGTGCGTCAGCTGCACGGTCGACCCCACCATTCCCCTCCGCAGCCCCGACCCCACCACTCCCAACCCCTCTCCCTTCCCCACCCTCTCGTCCCTCTCTGCTCCGCACACTCCCTCCCTGTGCAGCCTGTTGCAACGCATCCATCCTCCACGTCCCCAACCACTCATCACCATCCCACTCTCCACCCCTCCACCGCTCTCCACTCACCCCCTGTGCCTCCACCCCCTCTCTGTCTCTCCGCCGCCGCACATTCCTTCCTGATCCATCCCTATACCTCCCTGCCACTCGCCGCAGTCGGCTCCCATCGCCCCATCCCTCTCCCCGCTCCCCCTCCTCAACCTCCTCCTCCGCATCCCCATTCCCCTCCCCACCAGAACGCACCTCCATCACTTCATCTTCCTCCTCTTCCCCACCCTCCTCCTCTCCCTCCCCTTCTCCCCAATCCGCCTACCCCTCGTCCTCGTCCTCCCACTCCACCTCAGCAGGGCACGTGTGGGCGTTGAGCAGAGCGAGGGGCAGCCAGGGCGCCGTGTGCTTGCACCACCGCCTGTAGTGCTCCCACTGCCCATGTTGTTTCAGCCACAGGCTGATGCCCAGCTGAAGAAGGGCGGTGGGGGGGATGAAGGGAGCGGGGAAAGGGGGATAAGCGGAATAGGAGCAACGGAGTGAAGGGAGGGACGAGGAGTGTGGTCGTTGCCGTGCGGGGCTTCCGTGAGAGAGAGGGGAGGCGGAGGAGGCGGAGGAGGCAAAGGAGGGTGGTAGACGCTAAAGTACAGACCACCTTTGGGTGGGGGACAAACCACAGCGCACCTTGAGCTCTCTCACCTCTCCCTCTCACCACTTCCTCTCACCTCGGGCTCTCTCACCACCTCACCTCGCCCTCTCACCACCTCACCTCAGGGTCGGGGTTGAAGCACTGAGTGGTGGGGTCCCAGGTGACTTCAGGCGGCAGCAGCTCCTGCAGAAACTGAATATCCTTCACCCACCCGCGCACCGAACCGCACCGGATTCTCAGCTGCTCCTTCGAGTACCGTGGTAACCCCCGCCTCAACCACTCGCGGTGCACCGCCCCCCAGTCCTCGATCCTGCCGGGGAGAGGGGTGCCCTGAGCGCGCAGCACATCGCGAATGATCTCCAAAAGAGTTGTTGTCTGCTCGTTGTCCCACATCGGCCGCCACTTGCCGCTTTTCAATGCCTGTTCCCCACGCTCCCGCTGTTCACGCAACCCTGTGTCTGTACCTGTGCCCGTGCCCGCGCCCGCGCCTGTGCCTGTACCTGCACCTGTGCCCGTGCCCGTGCCCGTGCCTGCGAGCGTGGCACCTTCCCTGCCTGTGGAGCCATTGCCCAGCAACCCAAGCTCGTAGGTGTTCGCGTGCGGGGGGGGCACGGGGAGATCAAGGGGGGGCGGATGGAGGGAGGGCGAGGGGAAGGCATAAGGGGGGAGGGCGGGCTGCGCACGATCAGGGGATGCTGCGGGTGCGGGATTGGGGCTTGCTGCTGCAGCAGCACACTGGTGCGGACTGCTGTTTTCAAGTCCCGGGCGGCGGCGCTGCCGACCTATAATGTACACTGCATCCGCCTCATCATCCCCACTCGAGAGGTCGTATTCACCCGGGTCGTCTGAGTAATACCTATTGCCATCCCCTGTGGTGGTGCATGCGTGGTTGACATGACGTGACACCTGCTCGCCAAGGCTAAGACACGGTGCGGTGTGGGTGAGCCACCGTTTATAATCATCCCATTTACGCGGAGGGATATTGACATCACGAACCTGCATGATAAGGGAATGGGGAGGAGAGGGTGTGTAAAAAAAAAAAACAACCGCTCTCTTCAAATTGCATGTCTATGTCAGCACAAGGAGACAGGCAGTGCCTGCCTAGGAGGCTTACTTTGTGAGAATCCTAAAAAATGACCTCAACTTACCATGGTACTTGGGTCGAAGAAGTCGCGTGCAGGGTCCCAGTTCACACCTTCTCGAACCCACGACTTGAGTTCCCTGATGTCTTTCACCCACGCCTTCACTGCGTTGAGCCGGTTCCGCAGCTGCTCCGTCGTGAAGTTCAAATCGGCATGCTGGGCATGCCACCGGGCGAAGATAGCATCCCAGCACTGCACTTTGGCAAAGGGCGCCCTGCCTGCATCCCGCATGGCCGCTATGACACAGCGGAGGAGGTCGGCTGTGAGGTCATCAGTCCACTTTATCATTGACCTTGTGCCAGTGGCGGTGGTTCTCGATGGGCCTCTACTTGCAACGGACGGGAGTGCAGTGGGTGCGGTAGTGGGGCTTGCAGCAGGAGCGGGGGGTGGGGATGCACCGTGTGGGGGAAAGGGGGATGCTGCAGGAGCGGGGGGTGGGGATGCGGATGCAGGAGGATGGGATGTGGTGGCCATTGAAGGCGCAGACGTGTGAGGACTGCTCTGCTCAAGTCCCAGTCGACGGCGCTGCCGGCCTCTAGTATGCGCTGCATCCGCCACTTCATCCCCACTCGAGAGTTCGTCTCCACCTGGGCCGTCTGAGTAGTACCTGTCGCCATCCCCTGTCGCGAATGCGTAGCTGCTGCCACGCAACCGGGATTTGGGAACAACCTGCTCGCCAAGGCTAAGCCACGGTGCGGTGTGGTAGAGCCACCGTTTATAATCATCCCATTTACCATCCTTCGTGATATTATCAGTATCACGAACCTGCAAAATAAGGGAATGGGAGGAGAGTGGTAGGTACAAATATTTAAATGCCCTCTTCAAGTTGTCAGTCACTCTCAACACAAGGAGACACAGGTTGTGCGTCACTGTCAAGTCAACACAAGGAGACAGGCAGGCAGCGCCGCCTAGGAGGCTTACCATGGAATGCGGGTCGAAGCGATCGGTAGCGGGGTTCCAAGTCACTCCCGGGCGGACCCTTGACTGAGTTGCCTGATGTCTTTCACCCACGCCTTCACCGCGTTGAGCCGGTTCCGCAGCTGCGATTCCGTGAAGTTGAGGTCGGCATGCTGGGCATTCCACCGGGCGAAGACAGCATCCCAGCACTGCACTTTGGCGAAGGTAGCCCTGCCTGCATCCCGCATGGCCGCAATGACACAGCGGAGAAGGTCCGCTGTGAGGTCATCGTTCCACTTTGGGCTGGTTCTCCATGGCCCTCTACTTGCAATAGGCGGCTCACCGGGAATAGAGCCGCAAAGCGGCAAAGGAGGGCGTGGAGGGTCGGCAAAGGGTGGGCGTGGAGGGTCGGCAAAGGGTGGGCGTGGAGGGTCGGCAAAGGGTGGGCGTGGAGGGTTGGGAAAGGGTGGGCGTGGAGGGTCGGCAAAGGGTGGGCGTGGAGGGTCGGCAAAGGGTGGGCGTGGAGGGTCGGCAAAGGGTGGGCGTGGAGGGTCGGCAAAGGGTGGGCGTGGAGGGTCGGCAAAGGGTGGGCGTGGAGGGTCGGCAAAGGGTGGGCGTGGAGGGTCGGCAAAGGGTGGGCGTGGAGGGTCGGCAAAGGGTGGGCGTGGAGGGTCGGCAAAGGGTGGGCGTGGAGGGTCGGCAAAGGGTGGGCGTGGAGGGTCGGCAAAGGGTGGGCGTGGAGGGTCGGCAAAGGGTGGGCGTGGAGGGTCGGCAAATGAGGCGACGGGGGTGCGAGGGTGCGATGGCAGTAATTGAGGGTGTGCTGGTGGCGGCAATTGGCTGCCGATGGCGATGAGGGTGCGAAATACAGCAGAGTGGTCATTGCCAGGCACGTGACTGTATTCCAACTGTGTGGCCTCCTCCTGGCAAAGAAGATTCGCCTCACAGGTCACTGGTGTGCCAGTCGGCCCGACCCGGGCTGAAGCTTGCATGTCAACTAGCGGCAGGGATCCTGGCTGTGACGAGCCTGGATGTGACGAGCCTGGATGTGACGAGCCTGGAGGTAAGGACAGAGTGGACAGGGGGATAGGGAATGACCACGGGGGGAAGAGTGGGTGGAGAGGGGAAGAGAGTGAGCAGGGGGGAGAGAGTGATTAAGAGGGAAGAGGGTGATAAGGGGGGGATAGAGTGATCAGGGGGGGATAGAGTGATCAGGGGGAAAGAGAGTGAGCAATGGGGGAAGAGAGTATGGGCGGACGGGAGAAGGGGAAGGGGAAACGGGAGAAAATGATGAGGGGAGGACGTGAGAAGATGCGGACGGGAGAAGGGGAAGGGGAAACGGGAGAAAATGATGAGGGGAGGACGTGGGAAGATGCGGACGGGAGAAGGGGAAGGGGAAACGGGAGAAAATGATGAGGGGAGGACGTGGGAAGATGCGGACGGGAGAAGGGGAAGGGGAAACGGGAGAAATTGATGACGGGAGGACGAGAGGAGATGAGGGTGAGAGAATGGATGAGATGCGGATGGGAGAATGGGATGGCAGATGCAAAACGACGACGTCACGTGGCAGTCAATATCGACCACCTGACACATCGCGATAACGCTTGCACTTAGCGATAGCGTGTCAAAACGCTGGCCAGGTATCATCAATCGCTATGACTGATTATCATTCCAGCATACCTAATAGAATGGGTTCAAAAATAACCTCGAAAGCCGCAAGAAAAGCGGGCCACGATCGAAGCGCGCTTACGGTAGACGCCACGCGTCAGCAATTGTCCTTATAAGGAATATTACGAAGCTCCGGAAGTATCTAGGAAACAGCGTCGAGCTTCGCTAGAATTCCAGCCTAGGGAGGTTTGGTAGGGTAGCAGACTAGGGTTTCAGCCTTGGGAGCTTGTTTGGTTCTCGACAGGTTGCCGGCATGTTCGCGGGCGCTGTAGCAAAATTTGTTTCCAGTGATCTCTCCTGTGTGAGGTGAGGGTCAACGGAAGGCGGGAACACGTTGTTGTGAATCAACGAGTCTCGGACGCATTCGCGAGCGTTTCGTCAAGCACGAGGAGGAGTTCGCAACAAAACTGGTTTTCGCACGTCTCGCTGACAGGCTCTGTTCGGCTGCACAGAGACAACCAACCTGCAACACACAGAAGTGCAACACCAGCCTCGGTCGGAAAGGTTATCGCTTGCCAAGAGCCAACTTCGAGCGGCTTTTACCTAATGCATGCAGATTTCGCTAGTGCTAGTTTGCAAATGCATGCAATAGACGGTTCAGGGAAAAATGTCGGCCTGCCGGCAAAACCATGCGGTCACCCGTGTTTAGGGTTGAGGCTCCCCCAGTCGCATGCCATCCAGATGCGGTTTATTTTTTTCTGACCGGGGGCATATAACAGTCTGTCAGCCTCTTTCCCCAACGGCCGTCTATTGTATGCATCTGCATAATCGCACTTGCACTAGTTGCATGCAGTTGAAATTGGCCCCAACTTCGAGACCCCACGAGTGCCCTCCTCCCAAAGCTCACTCCCACACCGTTTTTCCTTCGGAGGCATACTGCCACGGAACGCAATAATTAGGGCGGGTCCAACTTTGTACACTCTCGTTTTTGTCGTTATTTTTACGTCAACACACTTGTCAAATTTGACGGAACCCAAGGGCATAGTCCTAACGTTTCCTATCCAGTTCGGAGTGTACACTGCGGACTTTTGACGAGGTACATTAACGTTGCGAGGTACAATACATGGGAAGGAGAGTTACCAAATATTACGAGGGTTTCCGCATTTAGGGCGAAGGGATTAGTATAATGGCGAAAGTGTTTGGCAAAAATCGGGCGTTACTGTTTGATGATTTGACGGGAAGCGAGTTGGGAGACGAACCTTCGGATGTGTTCCGCACGTCCGGGGGCACGTTTCCGAAATGATCTGATTTATGTACAGTCTCGCGTCAAACGAATTTCGTACGTTATAAGTTCTGTTACATGCTTAATTTTGGTAATTAAGCTGAAAATTAACCGTACATGTGCAAAGTTTGACCCGCCCTTAGGACGCGGACACTCTAACCACATTTGCTTGATCTACCCTACGAATGTTTGCTTTTTTACATGTTTTGAAAATATAAGATTTAATAGCAGGTTTCCACTTGTCGAAGAGAAAGGCCCCGCCCTCGCTTGGGCACAACCGATCTCGCCGCCGACGAGAAGTTCGCGACGGATTGGTCGACGAAATGGGCTTCTGCAGTTCGACGGAAGTTGCAGTCGAGCAGGCTCTGCTCGACAGAATCTGGTCGACGAGCTCTGCGCGACGAGCTCTGGTCGACAATCTCTGCGCGACGAGCTCCCGTCGAAGAGCGCTGGTCGACGATCCTGGTCGAGGAACTCTGGTCGAATAGTTCGGGTCGAGGAGCTCTGCTAGGCGAACATTGTTCGACCGATCGATGTCGAGCTGATCCACCGAAGTTGCAGAGTTGTGCGAAACTCTGCGAAGGCGTGCGAACTTTCGCCTAGAAGGTTTTGGCGAAGTTCTACCTGCGAAACGTCATCACGTGGTCGACGGTGCGCACCTAGCAAACCCGACGACACGTTTTCTACCTGGCACCTGCGCAATGTGCCTGACGGTGAAACCGCCAACCTGCACCTACTTGGTAGGTGCGCACATCTGTGCAGATAGACAACCTGCAACTGCAGAAAGTTACCTGCGACTGCAGATAGTCACCTGCGACTGCAGTGCTGGCAGACCGCGTGCAGTGCAACGCTGGCAGACTACTCTGCTGCAACATTGGCAAGCCGCTCTTCTGCTGCCCTAGCAGATTTCGCCCTTGCTAGGTGTTGCATGCCATTCTAGTCCTTTTGTTCTGCATGCCCCAATTGTACCATCAACTTTTCAATGCAAGTTGGTTTTTTCAATTCCTTAGTGGAAAGTCTTGCCAAAACTTCTCTGTGAACACAGCAAGCAGTAAGAACGTTAGAACAACACTACGATCACCCGCACAACTCCGTGCCCTCCACCGTAGTCCACTCCCGTTGTGTAGTGACTCTCCGCATGGTGCGGTGAGCGTGGACGGCCTCGCGTTAGAACCTTAAGATTAGCCGACTTCTGCGTTCATTATCTAAGTCGTTGTAGGCCGGCAGCCGTCTTAGTCGCCATGGTCGACCCTGTAGTCGAAGCAGTAGTAGAAGATACCCTGCAAGCGAGAGAGGCTGGTGTTCGGGCACGCCACGAGGCTGGCGGGTACGGTAAGGCGGACTTGGAGATTCTGCTCCTTGGAACTCGTGTGCAGTGGGCGCGTGAGCATCCCCCTCCCCGTGCAGAAGCGGACGGTGCGTCTGCCTCTCCCTGACCCGTGCACAACGAAGGTGATGGCGGAAATGTTGTCGGCGGTGGAAGCACGAAGGTTCGCGGAGTGATTCGGCCCGCCGACGTCAGCATTAGCAGAGTGCATGCGCAAGTGCTGCGATCGTCTGCGACTGGAGGCAGCTCGAACGGCAACGTCAATGGTCGACGTCAATCTCCTCTACGGAGTGGAGTCAGGCCGACTTCGGCGACTCATGCGTCGGCTGTTCGAGACGGAGGCATCGCGCCAGCGTACGGATATTTTAAATTTTCGCCGGACAAGATCGTTGTGCCGAAGCTGCTGGAAGGTCGACACCACTTGATCACATGGATTGAATCCATTGAGCCTTAGCTGGAGATCGACGAATTGAAGAAGTTCGTCGACGGAACTGTTCTGGCGCCGGACAAGGAGGATGTGGAGCTCTGGTCGGAATTTCGCGCTGCTCACCTTCTGACCTTTTTGGTGATTTCGAGGTGTTGCTCGCCTCTGGTGCAAGTCGCATTGAAGTCGTGCAGACTTCGAGTGGATGCTGGCTACCAAGCGTGGCAGTACATCATGCGCACCTACAAAGCGACCGACGACCTCTACATCAGTCAGCCGGAGAAGAAGTTGACCAACATTCGGATGGGGGAGCAGGAATCGGCGACCGAGTACTGCAATCGAGCGCAGCGAGTTTTGGCCGATTTGCGGATGGCCAGCGTCGACTACTCGGTGGCGTCGTATGTCACTCATGTCATCAGTGGCCTCCCCTCGGGCTACAATCTGGTGCGCCGGATGCTGACAATTTACGGCACGCGCGAGACTCTGAACGAGGACTCCCTTTCGAGCCATATCATCCAGGACGAGTTCATGCAGGAGTCTAAGCGACCTGTAGAATTGCTTCCGCAGGCCAACTACGTCGCCCCGCCGAAGCAAGGACGCCAACAGGGGCAGCGTGGGAAGTCTGGCGGAGGCGGTGGCTGGAAGTCGTCGAACGCGAAATCGACGGAGGGCGCCGACCGCGGGAAGTCGGCGAAAGGTGGAGATCGCGGCAGCAGTGGCTCGCGTCGAGAAGGCCGCCGTTGCTACATCTTCGATGCTCCTGACCACCTCTCGTACGACTGCCCCGACCGAGACGAGTCTGACGACGATCAGGCTGCCAACCGTAGAAAGGGAGAAGGTGGCCGTCGTCGTCGGGACAACCAGCCACGCAAGGAGAAGCAGCCGTCGAAGACGACTTCGACGAAGGATGCTGACTCCTCTGGCGACAATGCTGGTGGCGATGAGGCTTCGTGCTCGATGGTCAGCGTGGTGGAGCCGACGATCTCGCTGGCTCTAGAGGCTGGCGAAGACTTCAAGGCGGTCGCTGCTGCTGTGCAGGCCAATCCGACTATTGTGCTTCTCGACAGCGGCTGCTCCCACCATCTGATGGGGACGAAGGAGGCCTTCGTCGACATGCAGTCGAGTGGCGACGTTCGCCACGTCAGCGGCTTCAACGGGGCACTTCCGAGCGTCGAAGGCAGAGGCACCGTTGCTCTGCAAGGGGAGGCCGGGAAGCAGGTCCTCGTCCCCGACGTACTCTATGTTCCGGGTGTGCACGCGAACCTGCTGTCTGCTGGCCAGCTCAAGGAGAACGGCGTGAAGTTACAGGATGATGACGGAGAGATGCTGCTGGTGTCTTCTGCCAACAACG